TCTTAACAGTGAGTGAACAAATGGAGGTTGTTCTGAGGGGAGCAAATCCATGATGTGTTCAGAGAACGTGTGGAGAAAGTCTGCTGTGTGCAGAGCAGCTGCAGAAACCACCAGCACAGACATCGCCAGGCTGAACTTCTTTAAGGCGTTCATAGAAAAGCTGATGTTTGATGATCTCACAGCAGTTTTTTTTACTACAAAGGTGTCCAAAGGGTAGTAAATGTAAGGAAGTTCCACATTTCACTGTTATTTTTTGACAAAAAGAACACTTCTCTACAAATATGGGATTTGGCAGCTATTTGAAGAACAATAAATTCATTAAAAAGTTGTTTTAAAAGTACTTTAAATATCAATTTATTGTTTCAGCTTTATTTTGAACTTGGACATTAATGTAAAGAAAAACAAAATACAGATTATGAAATATTTTTAATAATAATACTAATAATGGAACAAATTTAAACAAAACTCTAAAAGCACAGTGGTTTCTGCCGAATTTATGATTCAGTGTTTGTAGTATTAATAGTAGTTTTCAGTGATTTGACATTTTCAGGCTCATTTCTCAGGCTGCCGCTTCACTCTGTGAACTTTAGCGCCCTCATGTGGTCAAAGTAAAAAAGTGTCTCATTTGTTTTATACTTCTTGGTGTAACAGTCATTTCATTTTTTATTCTTACCGTAGCTGTGGGAACATATTTAAGTTTTGGGGGTGCTGAGTGTGTTTCCTGATTWATATGTCAGCTCTAAAAAATGTCAAAATATTAAAATATTGTTAGAGTTCAAACATATGAAGCACCAATAAAATATTGCATTTCAGTAATCCAGCAGCTGTAGCAYCCTCAGCACCCCCTCCTCCTACAACAATGTTCATACTGAACTATTTATCTTCTYCTTCTCCTTTCTCAGTCCATTCCTCCCCAGTCAGCCTCCTCGTACTCCTGCATGCTGCCTCCATCACCTTCTGCTCCGCGCAGCTTTGACTCATCAGCGTACTCCTCCCCTCACCTGCAGACTCCGCCAACAGCCAACTCCAACACAGGTGAGGATCCAGTYCACAGAGACAACACACAAACATACAGCTGCTGTTTCTGTCAGCTAAAATCAGACTAAAAGGTTTTTTTTCCCCCTTCTCTCTCATTCAGGACTCATATCACCTGGGGTTTCAGTGCCAGTCCAGGTCCCAGGCACAGAGCCGCAGAGCATGGGTCAGAACCTGGGCCAGTACTGGGCCAGACTACAGTGAGCTCCAGACAATTGCTGACTAACAAAAGAAGAGAGGAGGGGAGAGGGCACGTAAATGTTGTGTCGAGAAAACAATATTTGAAGATGGGTTTTAAGGAAGCACAGGTTTGAGCTGCAGGGGCACCTTGATGGGTTGAAGACCCCAAAAGTATTAAATGTTTACAAACTCAGCCAAGAGCAGCTTTGGTTTCACTTAATAGTACTCTGGACATACTGGTATTGTCTTAGTTTGCACTAATTCTTTTGAACAGTAAGATGATTTTAAGTCTGAAGTGAAGATTAAGATAAATCTGAGGTGAGCTTAAGATTTAAAGAGTCTGAATTAGATGGGATTTGATCACAAAAATCAGAGGAAAATAGAGATACATGCTTATATTTATGTCCACATCCTTAAACCCTCAAGCTCAACTGAAAACCCCAAAAAGCTGCAAAAATTTAGAATTTTCTTTTACCTTTTGGGTGGCTTTAAGGTTCAAATTAACTTTACATTCAAGAAAACTTTTGAAAATTCATGTTTTTGAATAAATATATATCTTGTAAGTTTATCTAAAATTTGATCCTTAAAAACATCTAATGCGGTTTTGAAGCATGAAGTGAAGTGAAGTGAAACTCAACTTTCTGCTGACACACATTAAGCCAAACTTCAGGATATGAATCACTGCTCTGCCACACAAACTGAGTGAACGCCAGCAGATGTTGGGTGTACTGTGAAGTGTAACCACAGTGTCCTGTTACTTGAGCAGCTTAATGATATTAACGATAGCTAACTTTGATCCCTGAACATAAGCTGCGGCACGACTGTGAAGATTTTAGACTCGCTCATGACAATCACTTGTACTAAAATTGTACTGACAATTTTGAGATAAAACTTGTAAATCCTGCCCATCCCGACTGCACTACGACCACATATTTTTGTTCAGACATCTGTGTTTTAAGAAGGTAACTGCGGACAACAGTCTGATGTTATTAAAGGAGAGGACATGGGCTCCACTCACAAAGCACAGGTTGAATTTGTCAGAATCATGAGATTGGTGGGTCAACTGTGTCTAAGACGAGGCTACAATACATTAACTACAGTAAAGCTATTTATTTTCTTTATATTTTATAGAAATGTGGACAAATGTTTTATAAAGTCAATCAAAAACAGTAACAGCCTCAGAAGGATGAGTGAATGAGAAGCTCAGATTGACCAATTTCTGTTTTTGTAAAACCACTAAAGACACTTTTTCATCAGCAAGTGACAATCAAAAATCCTTGCATGCAGAATAGAAGGATTAAAAAGCAAACATTTGTAGGGCTGACAATCAGACTGGGAGGAAAACGAGCACTGTATAAAATGTGAAATTACTGCAAATGACCAAAAGATGGCTCTGCAGACAATCAGCTACTCACAGAGACGMATCAGATGTACAGAGGTTCGTTATTTGGAGAGTTTTAAATTCTGCTCACCTTCCTCTTATTATTGGTTCTGTTGATGCATCTCATAGAAAACTTTTATTTATATGTCTTTAAATTTGTTCACGACAGTCGCTTGTGTTGTTTTTGTTGTTGTCATGTGTTGTGTTAGCACTGCGTAGATACCAAGAGTCAACCCTTTTGTGAAGGATTTGGAACCCTTTAGTGAAAATAAAACTTGTGTGTCTAAAAGCTGCTTTTGTTGTGTTTCAGATTTTACTAGTGGGGATTRTTAAAATGGCTGGGGAATATTAAAAAAATGTTTCCAAATTCTTAGTAAATTCTAGTAAAATCCACAATAATTTGTGTATGTAACATGTTGTTTTTGGGCTTTTTCATCACAAATGTCCCACTGTAAGTGCCTACTAACACTCAGTTTTCATTTAGTATATTTTTGTCTGTTTAAAGCCTACACTGACTTCCATGAAGGAACACGTATCATCCACCACCTTTCATGTCAGAGGTTTACACTGAGATCATCAGAGAAATGACAGCATTGTGGCCATTTTAGTAAAATAAAAACAATTAAACAAAGTTTATACACATTTTGTATGCAATAGTGTATGATGTCATGCTCATATTATGTGATGTGAATGACACTCAGCTGTACATTAATTTTACATCAATATTTGTCAAACTGATTGAGTTAAACGCATTTTGTGTTGCTGATGTTGATGAGCATCTTCAGTTAGACTGACTCTAAAAGTTTGCTGTGTAGATTTACCGCTGCCGCATCAAAGTCCAATATCAGCAATATTTGGCACAATGCGTACAATTGAYGGACTTTTTATTTCAAATATATGGCTGTCATTTGATGAATTAGACTGGCTCCAAAACTTTAGCAGTTGTAAAAGTACATTAATTTATTATTCCCTTAAAGTTTCATAAAATTTTGTTCAGTGGTTCATAAGATATTTTGACCATGGACAAAGWTGACTCCAAATGCAAAATTTGAAACAAACATTTATACAAATAGATTACAAATAGATTATTGTGTGGGGGATCAGACTAAGTTGTAGGCATTTTCTGTGTTTTCAATATCAGTTGGCTGTGGCAGCCATCTTGATTCAGTAATTATTTTATGGAAGTTTAATCAGCTCTTTTGGTAACAAACAGACACACATGCAGCTAAAACGTTGACAAAAGCCTTTTGTTTTTTGGTGGTGGTAAGTGCTTGAATCTGCTGGCTGCACTGAGGGGGGAAAACCCTGTCAGACAGGAATTGATTTATTGATTTGTTCAAAACAAAAAATGTCAAGTTAAACTGGCTTTCAGAGTTCTATTCCAGTTTTTGTCCCCTCAAATTATCTTCCAAATTTATGTCATGCATTTTAAAATAGAAAATATATATATAATTTATGCAAAGCAGCAAAAGGATTTTCCCCCCACAGAACAGCGACATGAAATGGACATGATGGAAACTGGTCAGCTATTAGCAGGGCTWCACTTTGTGCTAATGGCATGACTCACTCAGGGCCCCAGAGGAGGAAGAGAAATTAAAGACAAGAGAGGAGGAAAAGGGGGAGGTGGGGAGAATGGAAAGATAATACTACTGATGCTTTGCTGTGAGGATGATAATGCAGATGCCAGAGCACTCCTCAGTGTAGCACCAGTCCCCGTCAAATAATTTCTTTACAAGTACATTGGCTGAATTGTTTTCTTTAAACCAAAAGTTGTTTTAAAATAAAATTATTTATATATTGCAAATGATCTCTTTATCGCTTTTCTTATATTACTCATGTAATGTCGAACAGTGCACTTTTATTTTGTTGTCATTTACAAGATGTCACATATTTAATATATTATTATGTATCATTCTGCTTCTGAGTTATATTGGTTGAAAAGGGGGGTTAATCTTTAAATAAAATATTATCTCTTTGTCTACGAAACATGTGTGAAAACTTTGCATTAAGAGGAAGAAAAGATGAATTCTTGAGTCGTGACCAGGAACTGGTCCAGTAAGGTCAATGCGGCTGAGACCTTTCAACTTTGACCACTAAGATTTAATCATTTCTTTGTTGAGTCTGAATGGATGTTTGTGGCAAATTAGAACATCCTCAAAGCATTCCTGAAGTATCATTCATGGGAAACGGGAGGAACAAGTGAGGAACAGAGAAACAGTGTGGATGGTGCTGAGCTGGGAAACCAGAAGAAACAAGAAGCCTGCATGATGTCTTTTTTTTTACTTTATGTGAAATATTACGTTTTTTTAAAGGCTTTTGTGGTGGCAGTCATAATCTACTATATACAATTTTTAAACATAAAAATTGTTAAATAAAAACAGCAGCACGAACAGCTCCTTTTGATACGAGTATCCTTCATGAAACTGCCATGAGTACCTTTAATACTGGCCAATAATTGCTACCATGAGAAAACTTATTTGTCAAAGAGTGACCACCTTCCAGAAATCAGCTAAATGTGCTACTGAATACATGTGGTTTTCCTGAATGCCTCTGCTGACAAGTTCAAGCTAAAGGACCTTTTAAGGTATAAAACATGGACATCTTTCTGACATCACAGTGAATTTACCTTTCAGATCTGGTAGGTTGTTCCAAAAAAAAAAAAAAAAAACCCCAATAACATAATGACAAAAGTTCCTAAAAATTGTTTGAGGTCACCTCTCGTGAAACGACGTCACACTTATTTCTTTCRAAAATGCACATGTAACAGGATGTCTGAAAGGATGAACGGAGAGGAAGAAGCTGCAGAGCTTCAGTTTGCAGCCACAGAGAGCAGCTCAGGATCAATCAGCCCAGCCCAGCCTGGTCCCCAGAGACACAGATGCTTCAGAGGAGAGTCAACGGTGAGCTTTGTGTTGCTTTGGAAATCTGCTGCTGTTAAACAWGATTTGCCCTTTTGCAGTTATAAAATCCAAGTGGATGGCTTCATTGGCAGGGATGGAGCTGCTCCTTCTGCTGTGGATGGTTGTGAACTTGATGGGACGGACATCAGCAGCTGCAGATCAGTACAGCAGAGCAGTGGTGAGTTTCTGCTGAAATAACTAGCTTTTAAATGCATGTACAGTTTTTTCCATCAAGGATTTTAAAGTTCATTGTGGAGACATAAACACAATGTTGTTGATTAATTTTTAAATGCAGCTTTCTGTGTCAGTAAAACCTTTTAAATCATTACAT